TTTTTTTTTTAATTCGGCATATCCTTGCGTGTGGCACCCGTTTTTCTCTTCTTGCTGAGAAAAGTTCGTAGAATTTTAAATTTAATGTCCCTTACCCGACCACGATCTTCTTAACTGGTAGTAAGGCGTAAAAGTAAAATTCGTTGTGCTGCTTAGAATAATACATATTTATTAATCAGTGAGAAGCTAATATCACACTAAATCATATTTGTTCGCCAGTCTTAGAAGCATGTTTGATAGCTCCCAGTTCAAGGAGAATTTGTCCTCCTTCCAGAAACTTCTTGCAGATGGACTCTTTGACAACACATTATCCGGCCTTACAACAGAAGACTGTAGAGCTGTGAGGAAACTTGTGTTGTGCAATTCGAGCAAATCAAAATGGGTGGAACAATATAAAATCTTTAAGGTACAAGACGAAAAACGTCAAACACAACTGCAATCCCATTAAACGGCAACCGATCTTAGGTTTAGAGTGCATTTTGAATTAATTTTTTTTTTTCCCTTTCACTTTATCAATCAGGAGACCAAAGGTAGTAAAAGTGCCATTAATGAACCAGAAGCTGTGAAATCAAATGCCCTTGCAACTGCTGATTATTCACTTAGCGTTACGAGACCCCGTGATGGTGGGGCCCACCAAAAGTTCTCAGGTAAAAATTCCAACATAATCACTCTTTATGCTTGAGATTTGTTTTCCTTTTCTTGGAAAAAAATTGTTATTATTTTTATTATTGTTATTTTTGTTTCAGGGGCAAAGGCAATAATAAAAAGTCCGAAAAAGACAGCGATGAGGTCAATCTGCAATGAGGGAGTGAAAATAGATAAGGGCTGCTCTTTCTTAAGTCCGAAGTCCTTATTTTCTTCGGATTTTGTTGATGAAAGCTGTGAACAGGATTTGCTGCTCGATGTTCCATCTAACGGAATGTTCCCACAGGCTGAACTCCTCCCGAGTTACAGTTTTGGTGCTCAGGCAAGCACCACTAGTAGTACTTCACTATACCCATACTTTGGCAATCCCTGATTGCCTCTACTTCTCAACAGTTGAGTTGAACCCCAAACCTTTTTTTTCCCCTTTTTTTTTTTGTGTCAAGTCCAGTTTGTGAATTGGATATTGTTTTTGCCTCTTCCCAGGGAAAAAAACAATTTTAAAATTGATAAAAATGGATTGATCATCCTATATGACATTTTTTTTTTTTTTTTTTGTATAGATAGACAAAATGTATGTTGCTACTTATGAATAGCCCCTTTAAGAGGCTGGAATACCATTTTGCATGACATTTTATTTTATTTTATTATTTTTTTTTTTTGTGTTACTAAATACCGCTTCCTTTTGGACCATTTTGTCCTTGGCATTTTTTTGTTTTTGTTTTTTTTTTTAAAAGAACAAACATGGCCGGTCGGCAATACAGGCTGCATCGCGGTCGGCCGACCGGCGATTGCGGCCGCGCTCGGCGGCGGTTGGCCGATTTGGTCGGCCAGTAAATAATGACACCTCTCAGGTAATGGTTCAGAGCACTATAGCTCGAACGGGAGCCTGAAGATTCCTCTTGTCTGATCTTCAACGAGCTGCGGCTAGTTCACACTTCTACACTACATTCTCATCGCTCCTCACTTTCCATTGAACCTGGGCTTAGTCAAAAACCATATCCTTTCTTTCTTCCAAGCTCTTTGCCAAAGTAGAGAAGCCAAGCCCTTACTCTTAGACTATGAGAGCTCTTTAAGTATTGGTTGGATATTATTGAAAGGCTAAGTGTCAGAAATCGTAAGCGATCCAATCACCAGAAACAGCGCTCAACCATCCCGTCGACTGGCTCTTCTTTGATTGATTTCCAGTCAAGTAAGCAAGTCGACTCCTAATAAATAGAACCGGCTCATCTTCCACCCACCCCTTGAGGACAAGGACACTCAAAACCTGAGGAGACCGACGGGAGCTTGTTTTGGCAATTACTCTCAACTAGTTATGTATCCTGGTTTCGAGGTGGATTAAGGCACGAAGTAGGTCGACTGAAAGGTACTTTAGAAACGAAGCGAAGTTCAGTCAAATTGTAACTTGTTTCTTACTTCCAAGATCTTTGCCAAAGTAGGGAAGCCAAGCCCTTACTCTTAGACTGTGAGAGCACTCACTCTATGACTTCTTCTTGGGTGATTTCAACTGTATTGCATTCTCGGCAGAGCGCATTAATGGTCAACAGGTAGTGTGCCGAGATGTGGAAGTTCGACTGTCGGCTGGCCTAGTCGGTCGACCGCCGCCTTGTGCGGCTGGTATTACCAGCCGACCGGCCATTTTTCTTTTATCAAATTTTTATTTAAATTATACAATTTAGAAATTATTGTGTTATACATGAGAATTTATTATTTTATAGAATTTACTATCTTGTAGAATTTATTATTATTATGTTAGAATTTATTATCTGGTACAAATTAAATAAATAATTTTATTTAACTTTATAATTTAAATTAAATTACATGTTAATATTAATTTGAAAAAATAAAATTATTTAAACTAACTTAAGTAGTTATTTGATATAAATTAGAAAAAATTATAATAACATAATAATTTTTAATTTATAACATAATAATAATAAATTCTATAAGATAACCAATCCTAATTTATAACATAATAATTTTAAGTTCTAACATAATAATAATAAATTCTAATATATAACATAATAATTTCTAAATTCTAAATTTAATTTTTTTTTTAAATCTGGAACCGGTTGTCCATGCGGTTGGCCGGCCGACGATACTGGCCGTCCGGATTTTTTTTTTAGTATTTTGGGAAACTAAGGAGGCAAAACGGTTCAAGGGGCTGTAGGCGGTAAAAGGAGGACGGTATTTAGCAATTCATTTTATTTTATTTTATTGGTTATTTGATGATTCCCTTGAAGAATTTGCCTAAGCATTATCTATTTTACAATCTGAAAAATGTACACATGCACCAATATTTTTTAGTGCCCATGTTGTGGTGGCATGTTAGAACTTGTTCAATGATTTGTTTTATTTTGGTTCTCTTGGTAGCTTATTGTGTTTGGTAATCATGCATTTCTCATCTTTAGAGCATGAAATAGAAGCTTATTGTCATTCAAGTTAATTTATTTTCTTTGTGTATTTGAAAATACAATCAAATTTTAATTTTCAAATTAAATAATCGACGATTTAAATATATCTCTATATATGGATGAAATACTGAGCACATAATATAGATTTTAGTTATTAGAACAAGATATTATTTATTAATGTTAAAATTATGAAATAAGGATGGTTATGTGTGGCTCTTATCCTTCAACAATTCTATTTAAAAAGGTAATCACTGATCATTTATAAATATACTGGTTGAATTGTAAATCCTCCCTATATTTAATTCCCGAATGCGCTGAGCCTACGTGGTTGCTTCTGGTGCTTCGGAATCCTATTTGGCGAAGAATCATGCTTCGTAATTAGGTTTGGATAAATAATATTGATATATTAATAATTAATAATTTAGGTTCGGATATTCCATAAATATTATTTAACTATCTTGGGTATTTTAATATCATTTTTACTAATATAACCTTTTAATTCATTGTAATTTTATATAGTGATGCACTAAGTGACTAATATATCCCTGAATTTTGATTTGTTTCCTTCAATAAGATATTGAATTATAAATGTATTTTAAAAGTTGATAACTTTTGTATTTTTTATTGGTTTTACATATATAATATATCAAATTAATCATCTTTTGATTATCTTCGATTTGACATCCATATTGTATATATGAAATAAATAAATTATATTTATCTTTATAATAATAAAAAATAATTATATTTATTAAAATTCATTAGAAAAATAAAAATATTCTAAATTCATATATTTATATGTAATGTAGTTATATATTGTAAGTTAAAAAAATTATTATAATATATCACAAGTAAGTTGCACAAATAAAAAGTGTCATAATAAATATATAATATATATATATATATATATATATATATATATTCTTATAAAAGGTATTTAAATTTTCAAACTACTTTTTCTCATCAATTTTAGATTTTAAGAAAAAAAATTAGCAAGCACCCGTGTAATACACGGGTGTTGTACTAGTTAGATTATAATATCTTATAATTTAATCACAATTCTATTGGTGGCGGCCGGAACTTTGAGGAATATCAAAAGGTCAAATTCACCTATAGAACACCAAATTCAAATTCGATTTCTAGTGTTCGATTTGATATTAGGCTAACAAATATTGGTCAAATACCAAACCTATAGGCCTATTACAATAAATTTGTTTGTACCACAAATTCTAGAACCGCTCGACCGCTCATCTCGAACTGGGTTGTGTCTCCTTGATCGTCGGTACCTGTCAAGCACGACCGGGATGGTCCCCACGTGGAAACTCAGACGCTCAAGTTAGTTGGTGTTTTTGGAGAGAAAACGACAGAGTATCGAGATAATGCGTATGTGTATGTTGTATAAAATGAATGAACTTGTGTCCTTTTATAGGTGAGGTTGTAGACCCCTCGTGAGACAAAAAGTCTTTCTGGTGCTTTTCTTTCCATCAGGTCAAAAAGATTCTGAATCTTCAGAGTCCTTGAGTTTGTAAACCTCATCATAACTTGATTACCAAGACACCTCCAGGCTCTGGTCCCCTCGGCATAACTCTCTGGTCGAGCTGGCTAGATGTCGAGATGCCTAAGCGTCGAGCTACCCAGGTGCCGAAGTGCTTAGACGCCGAACTGCTTAGGTGACCACATCCGCCTAGCTCATCAATCTGTGGCATTCCGTCTAGCTAGTCTCCGCCTAGCTAGCCCACTTCGGAGGTACCATGAAGGACGCCCACGCCGAGCCCCTTCCTCCCTTGGGTGGCCATGCCCAATTGTGACTAGACTCGGCCTGAGACCGGTCTTTCACGAGCTTACTATTCGTGGTCGTATCATAATTTAACATAACGTTGGAGTCTAATTCAAAATATGTTATCTGATAGCCAATATTTTAATATAATATAACGTGGAGTCTGTATCATATAAAAAAATAACTCAAATGACCGAATTTTGTGAATACTAATGTAACATAATGTGGAGTGACTGGAGTCTGTGCCATGTCTAATGAAATATTTTATTATTTTAATTTTGCATTCTATCAAAAACTTTCATAAGTTATAACATTAAAATATTTTAAAATATGATCTGTCATGTGGTGATATTTATTTGATCCATATATTCTGATTATATAAAATCCATTCAGTATCAATCATAAACAACAAATTTTATTTTCCAACAGTAACAATTTCTTGAATATTTGCCAAATAATCTCTGCATAATGAAATTGTTTAAAGCTTGTCCACATTTTTGACATAATTATAAACAATTAATTGCATCAAACGTGTTGAGTAGTTATATTATCTCAATCATCAGATAGTACTAATTAAAGGCCCGGGTCTAATTGGATATATATATAATTATATGCTATATTGTGGACATCAAATGATGATCCACAAATTATAGAAGAGCAACAATCAATTAATTTTAACATTATTTTTATTCACATCATCATGAAAATGATGAAATACACTACTAACAAGTGTTTGATTATTATTACACATACACATAGGAGGGTCAACCCAATTTAAGGTCCCTAATTTTTACCAACACACAATGTATAACAAACCAAAGGGGAACACTAAAATGAAACATTATTTTCCTTTATATAACGCACACATATTTATAATTATAAATTTATATAATAATTTAAACAAGTTGAAGGCCGGTATCATATGCAACCCCGGCCTTCCACTCATTCGGGATGACACGTGGCAGCTCCACCCACTTTACAAATTGATCACCCGCGCTGAGTTGGAACCGAATATTTGTGATGACAAGTGGCGGATTTTCCATGTCCCACACTGTACCATACACCCTTCGCATGGCCCGCCACTCCTTGCACTCCTCCACCCACACTTGGGCTCCGGTCACGTCGTAGGCCCCACCTTGGTAAAGGGGCACGACAGCCAAGTAGGACGGGTAGCTGCTGTGCTCGTGGACCTTGAGGAGGAGGTTTGAGGAGTCGAACTGGCACGGGACCCGTCGATACTCGACATCGACCACGCCGTAACCGAGCAGATGGGCAGCTGCGTCTGGAGAGGATGCTAGACTGGCGTACGCTCTAGCGGTTAGGATGAAGTCCGTGTCGTGGCCTTCGCCATAATCAGTGACCACGATCTTGATCCCATCCTCGGTGCACGCGGAAGGGATTTTGCATCGGACCTGAATATATAATGTATTATGGTACATCATTAGTTTATAAGGGTGTTTGTAAATGTATATAGTACTAAGGGTGCTTGAAAAGACAACTTTTTGACTAGGGTTTATGATAAGAAAATTTTGGGTTTTCTTCTCAAAATTAAACACCAAATGGGATAATTATATGTTTGGATTGCAAAATAAAAAGTTGGGTTAGTAGATGAATAGAAATGTTCCCCTACCTACGGTGGGCACATGTTAATATATGCCCACCGCGTAGGTGGCATGCACTAATTGGTGATGTTAATATGTTTAAAAAAATACATCACCAATGAGTGTATGCCACCTACGCAGTGGGCATATTAACATGTGCCCACCGTGGGTAGGTGAGCATTTCTCCGTAGATGAAAAGGTCATTTTCTACTTTGTTTTGCTAAAAGTTTGGAAGATATTAATGTGGCCCACACACTTTTATTTAAGACGGCGTGCGTTAAGTTTATGATTGTGAAGTGTGATTTTTAAAGGACGTAGATATTATTTTATTTTGAACTGAAACATTAGGTCCCACAACAAATTTGAACTTTTTAGTTTGCTACAATTAGCTATTCAATTGAAATTTTGTAAGTAATCTTGTTTATCCCGTAACGGAACCGTAGCGTTTTCCAAGTTTATAATAATTACCTGATAGCATGCACCACAACCACTTCCATTCCTGTAAAGCCTCGACACTCCACTCACCAAACCATTGTTCACTGTCCTCCCATATTCTCCAAATCCACATGCTCCTCCTGAAAAATTATTATATATTCTTCAAACATTTAATTTCAATTATTAACAAAATTATCTTATAAAATGTAGTGCGCCTTCGAAATAAAATAATTCGAACAAAATATTAATATATGTGCTTTTCGTCTTATATTATTTTCTTATCTTATACAAACATACTCGAGAAACATAACACGATATACATATATGTATCTGTAATCATCGAGTTTTTCATCGTTGAATCAATAAATACACACATATTCATACGCGTGTGTATTTATTTGACGATAAAAAAATTGTATCGAAATATATTCGTCAAAACATAGAGAGAAAGTGAAATAGAGAAGAGACATACTAGGATTGCCCAAGCAATCAGGACTGCCATAATAGGTTGCTCTTGAGCAAATGTACCCATCATCCCCATAACAAAGGGATGCAACAAGTACCAAATAAACAATGTTGTACTTTGAGAACATAAGGTTGTACTCATGTTTGATACCCATATTTTTTGCAAACAAACAAAAATTAGATGAAAAAATAAAATAAAATAAAATAAGAGGAAAGAAATAAGAAAATGTCTCTATGCAAAATATTTGAAACAACTTAGAAAATTAGGAATTGGTGTGCAATATAAGTGATTTGGAACATCTTATTTATAGCTCAAAATTTTGAACCACCACACACTATTGCACTTATATTATAATAATTTTAATTTTCAATATTTTTTTTAAAAAAAATATATATATATTTGCCAATTTGAGGAGTGGAAGTGAATATCATCAAATAGCTGTCCTGGGAAAGTAAGAACACTTTCATTGACTCTTTATTAGAGACTTATAGCTAGTGCATCACTAATCATATTTTTTTTATTTTTTATTTATTTATTTATTTATATATTTTTTTGCGTGGATAAACTATAAAGTGAGATGAAAAAAAGTAGAAAATTGTTTTTTAAAAGAATTTAAATACTAAATTTGAGTTTGTAAATGGATATGAAATATAATGAATAAAATTGACGAGATATAAAATAATAAAATTATTAATAAATTAGATTGATAGTTAGTATAAATGAACAGAAATTTTTATTGAAATGTGTAATTGAGATTTGTACATAAAAAATATGACATAAAATTAATGATAATTTTGGGCGCTACCTATAATAGACAGGGAATTTCCTTTAGATCATTAATTAAAAACCAAAGCCTGACAAAGCACAAGTAGTGTAATTAACAAGGCTCATTTGGTTGGTTGGATTGAGTAGGATATATGATTGGATAATTATATCCCGATCTGAATCCATGATCAAATTTGTGACATCAACCTTTTTGTCCCGCAAGTCAAGGGCGAAATTGCAAATTAGGGGCAATGCCGAACATTCAGTTTTGCTATGGAGTCATCAGATAGCTCGACTTATGGAGTCATCTACACTTATTCACCAATAGTGTATTGACACGTGTCCTACAATAAATACAACTTGGACAAGTGTCAACACATTAAGTGGTGGATGACTTCATAAGAAAACTATCCGATTGTTCCATAGAATTTTTGACCGAACTTGTTAATTTTTATCCAAAATTTTATCATTTGAGGCAAACATGAGATGAAAGTAGTTAATACGATGACACAAACATGGTGTATTAAACCACTCTTTGACATCCATAACCGGTAGAAAGAGTATTGGTCGCAGTCGCCTTTATATTTGTTTCTCATGATAATTTACCAGTAATTGCTAGACCGTCACAATTTATTAATACTTATACATATTTTTTGTATTAAAATATAATGTTTAAAAAAAAGTATTTGTGTCATTGATTTTTCAAGCCCAACCCTACATTTAAACGAAAAAATATATTTTTTGTTAAAACGAATATATTTCAAAAGAATATTTGTTGTAAAAACACTTAAAAAATAATATTTTTTGTCATAATTTTTTATTTAATCTGCGATAATTTTAGTCCGAGTAAATTATAAATTCTGGCTCCGCCCGGTAATACTACAAAATAAAATATGGAGATGCCCTAAATTCAGAGAGGTGAACATGTGGAGGAGCACTTAATGTCAACTCCACTATATATATATACACACACACTGTGTAAATGAAATTAATTAGGTGGCAATTGCATTTGTCCTTTTTTTTGGTTGTTTGTGCTTGTCAATTCCCCTAATTCTCAAGGCACAAGTCATCTTTTTTCCTCATTAATTGGTGACTTTTAGTTAGAGATGTGTGTACAATACAAGTGTAGCACTATGAATGCATGCACACAGGACAGATCAATGAGTGTTCATAATTGGACATATTATCATTATTGAGAAGCAGACCATTATTATGTAGTAACCATCATTTTTATTTTTAATTTTTATTATTATCCATGAAAATTACCAACTACCAAATTCCAAAAATGC